GCCTCTATCGACCCCCAGCACCTCCCCCTCTCCCCCCTCCCCTCCCTCCCCCTCCCCCTCCCCCACCCCCTCACCCTCGTCACTCTCAACCTCCTCGTCCGACGACGCGCTCGAGGGCCGCATCTGGAGCGACGACGCGCCCGGGAGTTCCGGCGGCGGGAGGAACTGGGCGACGGTGCGCCCGATAAAGGTCGGCAGGGCGTGCGAAAGGGTCGAGAAGAAGGACGAGGGAGGGCGCGGTGCGGCTGGCGTGGGTGCGGATACGGGTGCGGGTGCGGATGAGGGTGTGGGTGCAGGTGCGGGTGCGGGTGCGGGTGCGGGCGCGATGGCGGGAGGGGAGGACGGCGAGGGTGAGGTGGACGCCGTGAACGCCGACGAGGTCGAGGTCGAGGTCTCGCCCGCCGCCGCGCGCCCCTGCGCCGCCCCCTCGCGCGAGCTCATCGTCGGGCGCCCGGCGCTGGCGCTCGCGCGGGTCGAGGGCTGCGCGGCGTCCGCGTCGACCCGCCTCGAGGAGGCTGCGGCCGCCGGAGCCCGAGGCCGAGCGACGTGCGGCGCTCCTGCGCCTGCGCCTGCGCCCTCGCCAACCTCGCTCGCGCCCCTCGCCTCTCGCACCACCGCACGCTGCTGCACATCGTCCCTCGTGCCCCCGTCGGGCGCCTCGTCCGCCCCTGCCTCTGCCGCGCCCCCTTCTCCTCCTCGCGCCCGTTCCGGCTCGAGCTCTTGCCGCCGCCGGCCAGCGCGCGCCGAGGGGCTCGTGGGCGAGACGAGGATCTCGGGGAGGGCGGTGGGCGCGTCGGGGCCGGCGCGGTGGTGGTCGGGTTCGGGGTCGAGGTCGAGATGGAGGTTCCGGGACGGGGACGAGGGGGAGGGCGCGGGCGCGGGCGCGATGCGGTGCGCCATGGCGTGGTGTGGCGCGGTGCTGGGTTCGAGGTGCAGGGTGCTGGGTGCTCAACGCGCAGAGGGTTGTGGTAGTGGTGGTGCAGCTGAGCCAACGCCGAGGCTGATGAGAACCGAGATGACACCTCGCGCGGTGTGCGAGTGCTGGGTCTGGTGCGCCCTCGTCGTGCGCTGTGGTGCGGTGGTGCGAGTGCGTGCGGTGGGCCTCACAGGGGAGCAGAGGGTGTGCGAGAGGTCGAGGAGGAGCAGCGGAGCCATCTTCCCGCGCCGCCCAAGGACCAAGGTGGTGATCGACTTGGGTCCGCCGAGATTCCGCCGCACCGCCCGCACCGCTCGGCCCTCGCAGCTCCGTCTCCCTCTCCCTCATTCGCTCGCTCCCTCGACGACGCTCTTGCGCGCGCTCTTGCCGCCGTCGGACCCGCTGCCAGCTGGCGCCCACTCGGCTTCGCTCGTTCGCTCGCACAAGAGAGCTCCTGGTCGCTCTCGCGCTCTCGCCTCTCTCGCCTCTCTCCCTCGCTCCCGTCTCGAACCCCGACCTCAAAAACCCTCATTCCTGCGTGACCTCTCGCCCGCTCTACGCCTGCGCCCCCTGCGCCTGTCCTGCGCCCGCCTGCGCCTGCTGCGAGTTCAACAGGCCGAGGCCAAGGATGCCCCCCTCGGCGTGCACCTCTGCCTCCTTGCGGCGCTGCTCGAGCTCGCCGGCCGTCTTGTGCAGGTACTCGGACTTGATGCGCAGTGCTCGCGAGACCTGTGCGCGTGGGGGCGTGTGTGAGGCGGAGAGAGGAGGGTGGGGAAGGGGAGAGGGGAGAGGGGCGAGAGAGGGAGAGAGAGGAGAGGAGGGCGCGAGAGGGAGGGGAGAGGGTGAGAGGGAGGGGGAAGAGGGAGGGAGGGAGGAAAGGAAAGGAGAGGAGAGGCGAGACGGCGCGAGAGAAGGGAGAGCCGAGGACCGGACGTGCAGGCGATGAGGGTCGGGAGGAGCGAGGGGGGAGAGGAGGGAGAGCGGGGAGGGCGAGGGTGACAGAGAGGGGAACGAGGAACGAACGGGCGTACGAGAGGAAAGAGGCAAGAACAAGGTCTGTCAGTTGGCCGCGCTGCACCGAGTCCCGCCTCGAAGAGAGAGAGAGAGAGAGGGTCGCACCTCCTTGGTGTGGTGCAGGCACTCGAGGTAGTCCTCCTTCTGTGCGATGCACTGCTCGGGCGCGTCGGCGCCGGCGTAGCACTTCTGGAAGTCTGCGTGCGGGGTGGGTTGGTTGGTTGGTGGTGGTCGGGAGCGAGAGGAGAGAGAGGGGGACGGACCTTGCCAGAAGGGGAAGCACCGACTGCGTCCACCGGTGTAGCCGAATCCAGACTGCGGGTGGGGCGTGGGTCGGTGGGAGCGGGTGGGAGATGAGGAGGAGGGGAGAGGGAGGAGGAGGAGGGGGCGACGAGGGCGAGTCGGGTCAGGGCGTGGGTCACGGTGGGAGCGGTAGAAAGGTCAGAGTACTCACAGCCATGGTCTGAGCGAGTTTGTGCGAGATGGAGAGTCCGGAGACGGGACCCTTGGCTGCCTCCCTCCTTCCTCGTCGTCCTCATCGCCGCGGCCCTCACTCTCTCGCCTCGCACCACTCGAGCCCACCCCCTCCCTCCCACAGACCCTACCCATCTCACCAGCCACTTCCCCGCGTCGCACCCGCACGATGCCCGCCGCCCGCCTCGCCCGTCTCGCCGCCCTCTTGGCCCTCACTTGCGCCCTCGCCGCCCGCGCACAGGACTCGCTCCAGCTCGACGACCTGTCCGTCCTCCCTCTCTCTCTCTCCCTCCTTGTTCGGTCGGGTCACGCTCCCGCCGCGTCGCCCTCTCGCTCGCCGCCCGGGCGCGCGATCGAACGACCCAACTCGACCACCCTCGGCAACTCCCCGTACTGTACTGACACTCCCGCTCCCACCGCAAACAGCGGCAACACGGTCGTCGTCTCGGTCGTGACGGACGCGGCGGGCGCCCCGCTCGACACGACCATCCTCTCGACGCTCACGACCGCGACCGACGCAGCCGACACGGCGACCGACACCGACACGGCCGCGGCGGCGGCGACCGAGACGACCGAGACGACAACGACGCCTACGACGACAGCCGCTGCGACCGAGACGACGACCGAGCCCAACAACCTCGGCCAGCCGGCGCAGGGTGCGTCTCGCCCCCTCCCTCCCTCCCCCTCCTCTCCCTCTCTCTCGCGCCCGTCGAGCCTGCACTGACTGATGAGGACGACGCCGGTGACGTACACAGTCATCACGCCCGCCTCGAGGTGCACCACGGCCGGGTGCCCCGTCGCGCCCAGTGCGTCCCCCACCCCCTTCCTCCTTCTCTCTCTCTCCTTCCCTCTCGCGCAGCGCCTGACACTCTCCCGGGCCCAGCGACATACACGGCGAATGGGGCGATAGTGACTTGGTATGCGACCACGCCGGCGACGCCCATCCCGCAGGTGACGAGCAGCGGCCAGATTGTCGGCGTAGGGAGCTGTGCGTCCTCCTCCCGCCTCTCTCTCTCTCTCCCTCTCCTTCCCTCCTTCCCTCTCCCCGTCCTCGTCCTCGTCTCTCTCGCCCTCAACGCCTCCCGCACCTCTCGAGGCCCTGTCCGCGCTGCGCCCCTCGCCCCGGACGGTTACGAGCCCGGCTGACCCTCCCTCTCTCCCTCCTCCCTCCCTCCCCCCTCTCACCCCGCAGACATCTCCTCCGTCTCGACCGCCACCGGCAACCCCGGCGGCGCGGCCGCCACCCCGGGCGTCAACCCCAACAGCAACAAGGCGCTCTCTGGCGCGCCCTCGTCGAGGTGGGGCGGCAACCGCGGCGACTGGGCCCTCGCGGCCGGCGTCGCGCTCGTTGGGGGGCTCGTCGGCGTGGTGGCGGTGCTCTGAGTGGGAGTCGGTGCGGTGCGCGGCGGGGCGCGAGGAGGAGGTGGTGGTTCCCTGTCCATGTTTACGGCTCTCTCTCGCTCACTCTCACAGACACTTGTTCCCCTCCCCTTTTCTCTCTGTCTCTGTCTCTGTCTCTTCTCGCATACCCGTAACGCGCCCTGGCTCTGCTCTGCGTCTCGTCTCGTCCGTCGCCCGTCGTGGAGGGGCTCGAGAGCGAGAGCGAGAGAGAGCAAGAGAGTCTCTCTCTCTCGTGCGCGCCGTGCGCAGGCAGAAGAGATAGAAGAGAGTGTCGTTGCAGGGTGAAGAGGATGAGGATGGTACAACGTGCCTCGCACGAAACCGCCGCCGCCGCCGCCGCTTGCGAGCTTGAGAAGGCCGCCCACCCGCTCGCTCGAGCTCGCTCGCGCGCCTCACCTCGCCCCGCCGAGCCCCGTGCCCTCCCCCTCCTCCTCCTCGGCCCTGAGTGCCGCCTCGACGTCCCTCATGGCCCCTCGGAACGCCCTCGCCGTGTCCGTCTCGTACGGCACGGTGCGCTCCTGGTCCTCGTCCTCCTCCTCCTCCTCCTCCTCCCCTTCCTCCTCGCGCGCCTCCTGCTGCGCCAACGGTCCAGCGCCGCCCGACGCCGAGCCGAGCGCTCGGACGGCGCGGAGCTCGCTCGGCGTGAACCAGTCCCCGAGGACCGGCGGCGCGGCGTTACCCTGCCCCTGCTCGTTCTCCTTCTCCCTCTCCTTCTCCTTCTCCTGCTCGGCTGCCGCACCCGCCGCACCCGCCGCACCCGGTACCCGCCGCCCCGCCGCCGCCGCACAGCCGGCTCGGCACCCCTCCCGTCGCCCTGACGCGCTCGACGCCGCCCGTGGCGCGGATGACGCTCGGCGTGATCTGCGGCGCGAGCTTGCGGGCTAAGGGAGGGAGGGTCGACTCTGGGCGCTGGATCAGCTCATCAATATGAGGGGGAGAACATGGACATGGAGATGTTGAACTAATAATGGGGACAGATGTGGAGACTTGTGTGA